TCTCTCTCTGTATCTCTCACTCACTCACTGTCTTTCTATCTCTCTTTATCCCCTCACTATCCCCTATTCCGATCCCCTCCTCCTCTCTTTATCTCTCTCTCTCTCTCTCTCCCCCTCTCTGTGTCTGTCTTTCTGTCTGTCTCTCTCTCTCTGTATCTCTCACTCACTCACTGTCTTTCTATCTGCCTTTATCCCCTCACTATCCCCTATTCCGATCCCCTCCTCCTCCTCTCTTTATCTCTCTTTCTCTCTCTCTCTTTCTCTCTCTCTCTCTCCCTCTCTCTCATTATAAGACGACGACGAAGAAGAAGAAGAAGAAGAAGAAGAAGAAGAGAAGAAGAAGAAGAAGAACAATAATAATAATAAATGGGGTAAAGAGTCACACCGCCGACCCACTTCAACCCAATTTAATACCATCCCATGCTTTGCCATTCGGTCTAGTGTAAAAATGTTAGGTCTAGTGTGGCTCTCGTTGGTGTGACTGCATGGAACATAAACACGTTATTATTTAAAGAAGTCAATGAAAAGAAGTTGAATTTATATTTGTGAAGCTTATTTGTATTTTAGGAAGATTTTATTACATTATTTTATCTCTCGGACAACACGAGCCGTACGGCTTATTACCCTTCCTTCTCGGTCTCGGGCACATGTAGAGGAAGCCGGTCACACTTCCAGGGAGGTGATGTTTTGACCACGTAAAACACGTAAAATCCAAAGAAAATCAATGTTAAGATGTTGCATTGATGTTTGTGTATTAGGAAGCGTTATTGCATCCTTCATTCAAATGTTGACCTAGATAGAGTCATCAAGTCATGTTTTTAACACAAGATGGCGCCCGACAGACTCTGTTTGAGGGTGATGATGACTAAAACTCCATTTGTATATGTTTCAAACCCTCATATCTGGGGGGTGTTTCACAAAACTTGTCGTGAGTGACAAATGATAGTTTTTGTTATAAGCTAGTAAAATCATTGCTTCTGATTGGTTATCAGCAGATTTGTCACTGATTTTTGCCATTTGTCATTGAAATTAGGCTTTGTGAAACACCCCCTTAAGATAAATCTTATCAATCCAATGGAATCTAGGGGGCTAAACAGCCATGCCCCCCCCCCCCCTCAATAAAAATGATAATTTTAAGGGAGATTTAATGTAATATGAAGAAAAAAAGCTGAGGATCACACACAATAATCACACCTGTAATTACAGTACGGAATGTCACTTGAATGTATTACACGTCAGTCTGAAAACAAATCATTAAGGAGAACTCCACCGGTTACCTCGAAAACAACGGATTCTTTTTAAGGTCTGTTTAAATGTCTTCAAAATTATGGGACGAATTAAGCATGCTGATACCACCCTCTACGTATATACATCAGTTTGAGAATGGGCACACTTGACAATTTGGTTAGTCAAGAATTATCAAGCCAAAAATACTATTTTCACCTCCCATTAGTTACAATAGATTAATAGTATAATACAGAGTTGATTTTAATATTAGTACAGATGTGTAGGCTACATATATTCTTGCAAAGAGAATAATATTCATTAAATTTATAGAGAGTAAGGTATCTTAAATTACTTGGTGCCATGTATTAACATGCTTGAACTCTTTAAATGGTTTCTCACTAACATAAGAAAATTGTAAATACTACATGTAAATACAAAAATATAACTATCAAATTTCTCATCAATTTCATGTACATAAAACATTTTACTTACAATGTCTTAATCAAAATTATTCACTGCGGGTTCTTCCAATTGTCAAGAAATTATACATTAATTAACAAAGTTTTCAGTTTTACAAAATAATCTGAGATGCATGGCGCTACGTGTTATATCTAAACAAATTGCACTTCAACATGATTAAGAAGTGCCTCAAAAAAGAAAAATCTTTGAGTGACCGTTTTTAACATTCTCATTTTCCCCAATAAATTGTAGTGTTGGGAAAACGGTTTATAGAATGTCGAATTCCAAATATAAATATCTTGATAATCAGACAAGCGATCAGCTTGTAAAAGTCATGGGGTTCCTGACTGACCTAAAGGTCTATGATTATCATTGCATCATGAGCTAAATCCAGCATTTTGTTTAGAATCTGAGACAAAGATAACCAATTCCTATCAGTGTGTGGCTTGATGATTCTTACACAAAAAACTGCATAGTTGTATATTTGTATCAAATTGATGATCATGTTTTCTTTGCATTGTTCGATGTTTATTGGCCGCTTGTTACGTTGTCCAATGGAATCCTACGAATGAACAATTACAAATAAAAACAAAAATTATAATTACAATGTTACTAATAATGTGGCCAGACTTTAACATTGGCATTCGAGTCGTAATAATGCTTTTAAAGAAGTATGTATTTCTGTTAAATCTCTAAGTCATTAACTCCTTCGTGAAATCAGTATTGGCTGGAACAGCAGAAGTCGTTAATCCATATGATATAATGATACTTTACTATTTATTCTCACCCTTATTACTATGATTACTATATATTACTGCACTACTACTAGTAAAATGATTTTGATGGCAATCGTGTATTAGACCAACTTAAGAAAGTTACATGTACAGTTAACAACGCACAGAACGTGTAATTCGTATACACCCAGTAAGAAAACCATTTTTAAGAGCCCTGGTTTGCGCTACGGGGAGGGGGTATCACCCATATGTATATAGTGCTTTTCCACTTGACCTACGTTCCCTAAGCTGCAAACGACGGGGGGGGGGGGGGTGTTTCACAAAGATCCTCAGTTGAACTTATCTCTAAGTTGGACTTAACAATTATGGAAAGCCGTAAGCATATTTGAAAATATTTTGTAAAAGTTATTTTAAAAGGCATAGAATGTTGATTCCAATCATTCATGTTTTCTGTTATCATGGGAGATTTCATGTTCTTGATGTGGAATTTATAAAAAAGTAAAATAACTTATTTTTCGCTTTTGAATATACTTTATTTTAAGCTACAAATGGCTCTCCGTAACTTTTAAGTCCAACTTAGAGTTAAGTTCGATTTAAGATCTTAGTGAAACACCCCCAGCATGACTGGTAAAAGGGCTGAATAAGCATCATCAGAGAGTTTCGAATTCAAGTTCAAATCGGTACCGGGCCCTGTTTAGCAATACTCGACACGAGACTATGATGGTTCTTTAATGTTCGGACTCTTATTTCTTATATGTTTTTCCGTGAGCGCCTCGGAATAGAAGTTCTAGATAGATAGCGCAATAAATTTCATGGTTATGCGAAAGTGGCACTTTGTTACTCACTCTGTTATCTCCAATTTGGAATCGTTTCTCGTCTGGTACAAGCCTCGTAAGACGAAAAAGATGACGATAAGGAGGATGACAGCTACGGCACCGAATGCGGCACTGAGGTCGAGCACCGAACTTGCTTTAACTGTGTATTCAGACAACAACAAAAAAAATAATAACATGTGGCAACACATTCTTCCCTGTCAATATAAGGAACATGGTGGTAGTGATGATGATTATTACATGCACTATCGTTATACATAAGGCATTACTTCTCATTTACCAGGTCAATCGGAGAAGACCTAAAGCCGTCGGCCCTCTGGTTGATAATTAACAAGCATTTATGCTTTCTTAGCAGTCAGGTAAAATAACCACCACCACCACCACCAACATCAAATTACAAACAATCGTTTTCTAAATAACGATAACAATCCGATAATATATTATTCAATGCGCGTTACAGGCCAATTAATGCTAAACAAACAACAACAAAATATGGAAAATAAATATAAGTTGAAATTCTGTTATTCTAGAGGTAAAAGGGTCAAACGAAGTGGAAGTACACAAAAGATAAGAGGGTATTCCATATTTGTATATTAATAATACTAAAAAGACGATAAAGATGATAGTAATACTAATGATAACAATTATAGGATGATAATTGTATAATAATATAATAATAATAAAATACTTTGGGCACGATGATGCTGTCGCTAATGATAACTGCACTGGTAATGATGGTGATAATGATGGTGATAATAATGGTAATGATGGTAATGATGATGATGATGATGATGATAATAATAGTAATAATAATAACAACAATAATTAAAATGATAATAATGATGGTATTTCTACTACTTCTACCATAACTACCACTCCTATTATTCGGCATTGATGATAAATTACCTGTAGGCGGGGGTTTAGTCATCACTTTCTTAGGTCTCTCTGTCTCTGTAAACGCAAAGTTGCATGATACAAAATAATTAAAATTTGTTTGTGATTTTGTCCAAAGTTCGTTTGATCAAGCAAAAGGAATAATAATTTGAAAAGATTGAAAAAATTGCCAATGCTCAGGCGATCACGGAAGACAAGCAAGATAACACAAACAAATACAGTAGGCGTACAGACACACATACAATTTGAATCCCATCGCTAACGCAGCGTTACGTCAGGTGTAATGACGCCTCGTGTCCAACGGCAAATGTGATACAGGTTCTTTGCGTCAAAAGGTAGCACTTGTAAATATCTGACAGAATTATTCATCACGGGTTTTCTGAAAGGGAGCCACAAGTCTAAAAGGTCTCTATGGCATGGATATCTTCATTTTATCACATTTTAAGGTGCCTTTTCGTCAATAACTCCTAAAATTTCCAGATGTCCCCTTTATTGGCACAGAAATTTGAAAGAATAAAAAGGGGGATGGGCAGTTGTATAGAAAAAAAACCTTTTTGTAACATTTAGTGCTCCGTGTTAATTAAGTTCGTTCGTTCGTGTCTCCTTAGATCAAGATTACTGTAATCTTGATCTTCGGAGTAGTTGCTACAACCGGCCGTGTCAGACACGTTGCCCCGGGGTGCGAGATAGGACTCTTGTAGCGTGCCCCCATTTAAAACAGTTATACAGTTACAGTTAACAATGCATTTAATTAATAGTATGAAACTAGTTAATTAAGTGAGCCAACACAACCCGATGATTTTATTCAGACCAATTCAGCCATTATTCAGCACGACACATACCCGTGGGACTGTTAGACGAAGCCCTCGTCTCTGCTTCCTTTGTACTTCCAGGCTCTGTTGAGCGATAAACGAATTTTTTATCAAGGTTTGAATCAAATTTAGATAAACATTACTAGGGCTATTGATATACGAGAAATGAAGTTCTAAAGGACCGTTGAATCAGTAAATTTACAACTTAAAAAAAAAATCATAACTTTCTCATATTTTGTCTGATTTCATATTAAGCTTTCACCATTCTAATTGTCTGGTATTTATGCTTTCCACTAAAGTAGTTTCCTATCAAGGTAGGATTTCCTTTTAACATTAATCACATAATAGTGACACATGTGATGTATGATATTTCGTAATTCTTCATACAATTATATGACGTGTCTCACCGGTTTGGTCAATAGGGGGCGTAACTGTGGGCAGCGTAGTGTATCCTGAGGATGAGTTGCATAGAAAATGTTAATTCGTTAAAGGTATTACAAAGTTTTGGGAAATTTTGAAAAATGGGTGGATAGTGAATGTTTACAGTTTTGATTTATTTGGATGCCCCTGTGGATGTATTAAAAGCAATAACAAATTTAGCCCCTAAAACGCTTCTGCTTTCGAGAAAAATTGAATATAAAGATATACCGGTGCTCCCAGTAAATTTGTATTAGATTTCAAATAGCTCCTACGGCCGTACAATGTTAGCTGCGATCATTGAAATCGCAGAATGTGTAGTTGGGGTATATAATTTCCGAACGTGAATAGCTAATCGCTCGATTTTAGTCAAGAAACATTGTTTTATAGCTTTATTAATATCTCGACCTTGAGGGGGAGCTATACAACATAAAGTGTTTAATTTTACAATTTCATACTTTAGAGTCGATTTTGACCGCGACAACGAGCAGTGAATATTGTAGGATCGCATATGGTTCCAATATGTCCATTTGAACCAAATTCACGACCCCATACCAAAACTTTGTATTACCTTTAAGCAGATATTTTTTTTTAAATAGACACACACATAGAAAAGAAGACAGCCAGACAGGGAAAGACACAGAAAGAGAAAGAGAGAGTTGAGAGCGACAGACAGAAAAAGAGAAAGAGAGAGATTAATAAACAAACACATAGACAGGGAGAGACAGAGAGAGCATCAGATCAATCAATGTTGAGGGCTGACTTCCCCTTTGATAGTGATGTTTTATGAACCACGAATATTCCTCATCATGATAAGAAAAATCGCGAAAGTATAAATGCATCATATTTCATCCTTCTACATAGAAATATATAAGGTTTCTCATCTGTTTGATCAATAGGGGGCATAGTAGGCATCGTTGTGTTTCCTGAGGATGTATTGTATAAAAAGTGTTAATTCGTTAAAGCAGAATTTGAAAAAAAGACACACACACAAAGAGAACGAAGAAAGACACAGAAAGAAAAAAGAGAGTAAGATAAACAGACAGTGAAAGAGAAATAAAGAGTTAAATAAACAAAGACATAGACAGGGAGAGAAGGATTATTATTATTATAATCATATCAATCAAAGTAGAAGATGATCAAAAAAAAATTATTGTCTATAAACGAAGTCATGAATGTATAAATGTATTATATTTCATCCTTCTACAATACGTGTCTCACCGGTTTGGTTGATTGGAGACTCAGTTGTAGGCAGCGCAGTGTATTCTGAGGATGTATTGCATAGAAAATGTTAATTCGTTAGAAGTAGAATATGAAATTAAAACGCACACACATACAGAAGAAGACGGACATACGGGGAAAGACAGAGAGAGAGAGAAAGATTGAGGGAGAGCGACAGACAGAAAAAAAGAAAGAGAGAGCTAAAAAAAAAAAAAAAAAAAAAAAAAAAAAAAAAAAAAACCTCATTACGGAGAGAAAACAGAGAAAGCCAGATCAATCAAAGTTAAAGGTTTATAGCGATCAAAGAAAAACAAAAATATTGCCTAAACGAAGTAATAAATGTTTTTTTTTATATACCTCACTTAAGAAATCCAGCCATCTGATTGGAAATTGCAGTCGTGATTTTAGCCATTCCCGTAAAGAAACAAAAAACTCCAAAACCATTTAATAGTCCAAGAGTAAAGTCCCGGGCAAAATTCCAGTTACCGGGAAAATAATAAAATCTTGCTTCGATACCCATTGGTTTACGTGTTAAAATGTTCTTTGAGCGAGCGCGGACATCATACAGGGCTTTTTGTCTGCGATTCCCAACTGATCGAAAATTTCAGTCATTTTTCGGGCGGTGATAAACAGACAGTTGATCAGATTTCCCGTGATGTTTTAACCACTCTTTACTCGATAAAAGGATAAGTTAAGAATTCTTGGTAGATTTTTTTATTTGAATTCGGCATATAAATGGGATATCAACTGCTTTAGTACTTGACGACTGACTGTTTCTATACTGGCTCTCGGAAAATTTGCCTTGAGCGTATAAAACAGCCACTCCTCTCGTAGCAGTCGATATCTTTATACTATCGCATCCTTCTACATTTACATAGATATATATTAGGTATCTCACCGGTTTGGTTGATTGTAGACTCACTAGCAGGCAGTGTAGTGTATTCTGGGGATGTATATTGCATAGAAAATGTTAATTTGTTAAGTAGAATGTGAAATTAAAACACATACAGGAGAAGACGGACAGACATGGACAGACACAGAAAGAGAACGAGAGAGCGAGGGAGACATACAGTAAAAAGAGAAAGAGAGAGCGAGATAAAAAAATAAAAAAATAAAAAAAGAGAAGAAGACAGAGACAGGGAGAGAAAGGGAGAAAGAGAGAGAATCAATCAATCAAAGTTGAAGGTTTATAGCGATCAAAGAAAAAAATGATTGTCTACATGAAGTCACGAACCCACATAATACATGTACAAAGGGTACGCCGATCTAGACATTGTAGACATTCTAAGCGAAAACCTTATTTACAGTCTGAATGAACCTTAATTGTACACGTAAAATGGGTATCTACTTATTGGAGAAAAGCTAAACGAAAACCTTATTTTTTGTCTAAATGGTCCCACAATATAAATATAAATGGAACTCCTAACATTGTAGATATTTTTCTTCATGAAAATGTTGTCTGAACTAATTCCCTACGACAAGAAACTGCTGTTCAGAAGGAAAGATCGGCCAAAACACTTTAAAAGACTGAACTTGATAGTTTAAATATAGTTTATGAATATATGCATAACTTAATTTGGCATCCGCAATCACTGAGATCAGTTTTCATTTCGTTCATACAATTTCTTTTTATATGCAAATGTATATCTTACCAATGGTGACGGTTTCAGTCATTGTCGGGATAGTTGTGAGTCCTCGTATATGGAGAAGTGCATACGATTGGAGTGAATCAGATATAAAAACAAAACATGATTTAAAGATGAAGTTGAGTTCTGGTCATGCGATTGCATTGTGAAAGAAACGGTGTGGAACCGACCAGAAAAGGTTGATCATCTAGCATATAAGAATTTGTGTGTATTGCAAGGTTCTGGAATCATCAAAATGATAAGAAATTTAGCCAAGTCTTGGTAAAGTTACAAACACTTGCACAGAAAGATGTATATGGGACTACACGAACACGTGGCGTAAAAAACCGGCCCCCGATTTTTACGATGTTACATGTATATTTAGAATATGAAGGCATTTGAAGAGCCATGCTTTTCAGGGAACATGTCTTAACTGATGTTCTTCCACACTTGCATAATAAGAATGAGTAATGCTCACAAATTATTTTTCACCTCTTCCCAGAACTCAACCTTCTCTTTAAAAACAAAATAAACAATAAACATAAAGGCATGTATTTTATCAACATTTGAACTAGAAGATGGGCTTACACTTTGTTTGATGATGGTGATTTTGTTTTGCCTGACTGCTAAGAAAGCGTGTATAAGCTTGCAAGTAAACAAGAGGGACTTGGTAATGAGGACTAATTCCTTACCAAAGGGCACGAGCGCATTGACTTGGTTGCGAACTCGTGACCTCCCTGTTACGAAACCACGGCTCTACCACTGAGCCGTCGCGCCTCCTCCTTTGTTTCAAATCAAGTTTGATAAATTAGTTTGTTTCTTTTATGTTCTAAGTAATCCTTTATTAAACGTGATTGAATATAAACCAAGAGTGCACGCGAGGCGTTATTGCTATTACGCCATTCAATGACTTCCGGGTACATAATATCGATGCACCAAACAGGTCCAGGCGCAATCTTCAGCCAAAACTAAAACGCAATTCCTTGAAGCACAATGCAATAGCCTTATTTTCCTTCAATCTTCTTTTGACGCAAAATTTGGCGTGCAAATCTATACAAAGGAAAGTGCATGATTTATTGAGCAGTCGTGTGACAACTCCGAGCCCCTCCGTCATTAACCTGTAGGAGCATAATAGTTGTTTTGCAAGGCAGCAATATTTACAGGGATGAAGTTGCCCATAAAGTTTGAATACATTTTCTGTTACCTTGTTTACCACTTCCCATGAAGTGATTCTTGATAGATAAAGTTCATATCTTCTTTATCGATCAATCAAAAGAATCCGCATTTTTTGTATTCATTTATTTTATTTCTCAAAACTCCAGTTGTTTTTCGTACATAACATAGTTTATACAAAACTGCAACATAATTATAACAAATCCTTTTTAATCAATTGATAAACGAACATAAATACAACATAGTTCATTGTTCATAATTTCACAATATAGAGCTAAAATATATCACGATCACATAATAGGAAATGATAACTGCACTACACAGTTTCATCCCCAAAACTAAAAAAAGCATTGCTTTTTTTCAGAAATAGACTAAATAAAAAACATGAAAAGTGAGTTTCATATTTCTTAACATATTATTATACGGAATTGGAATTATGAGCTTTTTTAAAACACAATCTACCCCAAACCCCTCTCCCTTCCTTTCCTCCTCTCTAACTCCTTGGACTTATCTCCCTTCTACCAGCATGGTGATAGGGATTGTTCAATAAGGCTTTGAGATGTTACAAACTGCATATATCAAGAATAAACCATACAGTCGCAATCATATTATGAACAAGGGATAAGGAAGAAAAGTATGCCAAATTTATCGGTAACAGTGTAATTGAAAATATTCGCCGTGCGTTTTACCTTCTCCCTTGGGAAATCCAAAGCAAAATGAAACAAAGAGTATCAGGAAACAGGTTCTTGTTATGGCAGCCATGTCTAAATCAGACATTTTGTTGCAACTAATTCCGAACTGAAGTCAGAGATACAGCAATGGCGTGCTCCTATAACGAAGAAAATAACTTTTGTGGCAAAATTAGAGCCCACGTATCTGTGATTTTATGCCTTTATGATACCATGATCGTCATGATCGTGCAGATATTACCGCCCGAACTCTTCTTTCTCTCTCTTTTTCTCTCTCTCTTTCTCTCCCTCTCTCTCTCTCTCTCTCTCTCTCTCTCTCTCTATCTATCTCTCTCGTTTGCTACCCTTTTGAAATTGTGTCACGTACAGTCATGTAGAACGAGTATAGAATCGATCTTCAAGAATTTTATGAGATAAATGCAAATTGTATTTGAACTCTCAATGCACCTGATTGTTATGGCCCTGATTGAAAAGGATGAACGGAACCTGCGAACGTAGCAAATGTTAGGTCTGGAGCACATGCCCCCATCTCCACCACCCCCCCCCCCCCACCCCCCCACCCCCCCCCCCCCACGCTATTATTGTACCCCTATAGGTTACCCGATTAAAACTTATGAACAAAATAAAACGTGAAACAACAGAGACGCACATATTGAGTACGTTAAATGCATTAGAATGTCATTTTGGATGCTGTACGGTCCCCAAGCAGAATGATTAAAAAGCGAATGATCTAACAGTGGATCGCATTTGCATCATTCTTAGATAGAAAAATATAGACCATTAATTTTATTTCAGGAAGGGGGGGGGGGGCATTTCTTCTAAATATTTAGGTAATAGGTTCCCTACCATTTTCTCACATCATGCTCCGCATTATGATACTTTATGCAGGATCAAATAATGATATTAATATAGCTCGTAACGTTTTTGAACTGCCAGGTGTTTCCGAATATGCTTATCTATTTATATTTGTGTATCCCTGTCAGATTTCGAATTTATATGTATTAGACATCATAGATTGTCGGGTACTTCATGTCTGAAAGCCCAAGGAAAGATGGTTGCAAAATATTTGTGAAACTCTTAATCATGATAAATTAGCATTAATATGGCGATTGTGCAGAAATGAAGTTCTAATACAAATCGAAAATTTGATAGGGATCATTTCGAGTTCAACTAATCGACCTTTCGTTTATGACCATCATTTACGATACGAATATAACCATGAAGATCCTAAGGGAAGAGAATCAGAGATCGACGGAAGATAAAGAAAGCGAGACAGCCAGAGAGAGAGAGAGAGAGAGAGAGAGACTGGTTTTGCTTAACCCCGGACTATTTTGGGGGGCTTTTCACACACGCTGTTTTTAGTCCCGTACTAGCGCCTATTCCGGAATAAGACAATTCACGCTGTTCTCACTGCAATTCGTTAACCCCGGACGTTAATATGGACATACTTCGTATCTGGCCAACTGCGATACGCTCCATTGCGTAGTACCGGACTATTTTTCGTTTCTGTTCTCATTCATTTGCTTGGCATCGCAATTGCGGGGTTAGCAGGAGTTAGCACCACAATTGCGGAGTTAGCCCTGCTATTTTGCAGGGTTAGTTAACCCCGTACTATAGGTGGGGTTAGCCAACTTTAGCCCACTTTGGTAAAAGCCAGTCTGAACAGAAAGTGGAATAGGCTTAACCCCGTACTGTAGGTGGGGCTAAGACCCCCCCCCCCCCTTGGGTTAAGCAAAATATTGCCAGTGTGAAAACAGTAGAGAGATGGGCAAGAAGGAAAGAAAAGGACCCAGTGAAAGAGATAAGTTTGCATTGTTGGAGTGGTTGATGTCACCTTGAAACTGTTTGCATATTTGCATAAGAAAGATAAGATAAATTTTAAAACTGGATGCCGGTGCATTTACCAAAAAAAAAATGATACTAAAAGGCTATTATAAGCTTAGAGAAAAGGAGATTAGATTTAATTATTTGCTGACGCCCCCCCCCCCCCATTTCTCTCTACCATGCACACATACACACGCTCTCTCTCTCTCTCTCCCTCTCTCACTTTTCTCCCTCTCTTTTCACTTTTTGTTATCTCCCTCTCTCTCTCTCTCTCTCTCTCTCTCTCTGTATGCCTCTCTCTTTCTCTGTCTGTCTGTCTCTCTCTCTCTCTACTATATCGCTGCTATTCTCTTCAATCGTGGAATATTTCTCAATCTCCTTATCTACCGTATATGTTTACGGTTCTTATATTTTGTGTGTGTCTAATTGTATCACACCAAAACAAGCGATCATAAAAGAGGCAGAAAATCTGAACTCATCAAAATCCTTTTCACACATGCCCCTCATATATGCATATGCACCCACAAAACACAAAAATTGAAAAGGAATTACATTTTAACGAAACAAAAGTAAGTGCGTTAGTACATTTAATTGTGATTGTTTTTTTTGTTTTTCTAGATATACAGATACAAAAGAGCTACGATTAAAGAATTTTGTTTTCAAAGCGTTGAATGATATTTCTAAGAGTGAACACAGATATTCATAAGACTTCGCTCATAATATATTTTTAGGATAATACATCAAATGGTACTGGACCAAACTATTCAATAAACTTGGAAATGGAGAATGCTATCTTTAATGGTAGATATATCGACGCTAAACAAATATTTTGGAAATGAATGTTTCTTTCTTGGAGACCTAGTTACGAGTTATTCTATCAACTTGTTATTATTGAATGAACTACAATACTTGGAATCCAGTCTGCATACATTACTTGTCGCTATGTCGGACTTGCCTCGGGCAAGCTTTCAGGTTGTCAAGATCAACCTTTGTTTCTAAAGTCTGCATACAATTTAAATGTGTTAGTAAACCGGTTTATTTACATTCGACGCAGATGCACGGTAGGATTAATACTAAAATTCTACAGTTTAAATTCGAGCAGCCGAGATAATATCTACTTTAGCTAGAAACAATGGCGCTGTTGTTTTTCCTATATTGGAGGCCTCATCCCAGCATGGGTAAAGGAGTAGTAGTAGACTAGTAGTAGTGGTAGTAGTAGTAGACTAGTAGTAGTAGTAGTAGTAGTAGTAGTAGACTACTACTAGTAGTAGTAGTAGTAGTAGTAGTAGTAGTAGTAGTAGTAGTAGAAGTAGTAGTAGTAGTAGTAGTTGTTGTAGTTGTTGTATATTACCCGTATTCTATCAAACTGAATTTTTTTTTAGTTTATTGATTTTTTATTATTTCCGATCATTTCAGGTCGACAGTTTTTCCATGCAAGCTACATTGACTGAATGGGAATCGTCATTAGGCAACTTTGTCAGTCCTGGGTACTGCCGTGAGTGTAATCCCGTTGGGCGGAGTCAGAAAACCGGTTTTGTTGAACTTTGGAGGAATCTGATTTTAAGAGAAATGAACAACAACAACACAAATAACAATTATTTTGAATAAAGTATAGTATGCTGCTTGAAAGTGTCGGCTTGCATGGTGATGTAGATATACAGTAGGCTTGCGGGTGCACCATGTGTGAGAGAGAGAGAGAGAGAGAGGATTGAGGAGTCCTGAAAAGGACTCTGACTCGGTAATTGGACTACACTTCAGGACTACACTTGGACTTCAGGACTACACACCCCCAAGAAAGATTACCGAGTCAGAGTCCTTTTCAGGACTCCTCAATCCTCTCTCTCTCTCATGGTGCACCCGCAAGCCTACTGTATAAATTATAGTTTATTCATTCCTTTCTTATGACAAGATGACTAAATTTGTATATAGATTCCTGGGTCTTAAAAAGCAACCCACGACGATAAGATGCGGCCCGCCAAAATATCATGCACCAAAAACAACAACAACAACAATGACAGATTTTTAATTCCTTTTATGCAATGCATTACATCCATAAATACAATTCTCGGAATTCGTTAGTCAAGTTTGTGTCTCTGATTGTGTACTGTGCATGAAAATTCATGAGGGAAAGAGATTAGCCTATATTTTTATTTTGTATTTATTATCAAATCATCTTTCACATTGTACATGGATGTTTGTTATAAGTTTGTTTGTTTGTTTTTCTTTTACCTCTGTCTGTGCGTTTGTCTCGAGCCGGTAGTTCTGGAATACGCGCACGACGGCCATCTTGGTCTCCATTAAAGCAAAACGCATCCCGATACAGTTGCGAGGACCGGCTCCGAAAGGTTGCCAAGCGAGCGGGTGTTGCTTGGCCTTGGCTTCTTTGGTGAACCTGCGATATTATTAAACGTACAAATTATTTAATAATTACCAATGAGGGATTTAGGTTAGGAATAAGAGTGCGACTGGTACGAGCACCCCCCCCCCCACCCGCTCCACGCCCATTTGTCATTAAAACATATAAGAAGAGTACTACCAAAAGGCACCGTCAAACCCCTTTTTGGGATGGAGAAAGCCCCCCCCCCCCCCCCCCGGTACAAAAAATAGGGATGCGGCTCTACTTCTTGGCATCGTAAGAACCAATTTCGTAAAATATTGGCGTACATGTACACGTATCACAAATAACATGTACATTAATTTTTAAAAGGGTGATCGAACTTTGTAGATTCCTTAACGAAGGTCGACATATTTTATGGATCGAACTTTATGGCATTGGTTGCCGTCCATAATTATATGAAGCTGCTGTCGTACATACCTCTCCGGGACAAACTTCTCCGGTTCTGGCCAGTAGTCCGGGTCGCGATGGATGGTGTAGACAGGAATGAAGACTTGGGTTCCTTTCTCAATCATTAATCCATTGTGTACAAAGGTCTCGTTACACATCCTGTTGGAGCTGTGAACATATTAAGATAAATTGTTATTTTGTTTTATTTTTTAACTTAAAGACGAATTAACCTCTCGACTATGAAGATTATTATGACATAAAGAGTAAAACAAAGTTTTATTTGATATGAAAAGCATTGATGCAGGACAAATAATGTCGTTTTGCAAGTACAATAAAGAGACGCTACTTTGCCATATTTACGACGTCGTCTGCTCCCCAAGGAAATTGCCACTTTGTCGAAATTTTCCTTAAAAACTTCCGGATTGTGACGTATCGCATGGAGAACTGATGTAGCGCGGCGCGCGCGTTATATGCAATACACGTCAAACATAGTGCCAAGTGTTTTGTTGAAAAAATTCTTCCTCGAACATCAAGGGGAAAT